AAACCCTAAGCAAATACTTCACTTTCATCTCCCTCATCTCTCCAAATCCCCTCCCAAACCCTAGCCGCCCCAAGACCCTTTGCCGGCGGTGCTGCTTCAAACAACCCCAATCTCCCTAAAATCTTCACCCCACAATCCCCACCTCCTTCTTATCCCATATCCCTCTGTTCTTTCTTTCAAAAACCTCCAGAATCTCTTAATCTTTAAATCTAGGAAATCCTAAAACCTATATCCACTCCTTTTCGATTTTTTCTCAAATCCCGGTTTGTTTGGGCTTAAAACCAACACCAATCGACTTCTCTAATTTAGTGTTATAGGTTGACGTTGGTTTTGTCTCGTTTTAAGATCGCCGGCTGCCGGTCAATTCACCATTGACTGGCCAGAACTATTGAGAGTCCTTTGATGTTGACCGAATTATGTCTAACATCGTCGCATGCAGTTACACCCTCAAGCGTAAGCCAGTGCTTGTGTGGTGATGCCAGCCATCGTTCAGAATTCTTTTCTTTCCGATCAACATTGTTTCACGTGGTATTCCTCTACTTCTTTTCTTCATTCCTTAGAGTTTCTCATTCTATGTCTTATTTTGTTAATTATTAGTTTGACAGCATGCTAGGTTAATAATTGAAAATGTTTTAGCTTTTTGAATAATTATTTAATTTAGTTCTACTTGAAGTTTAATCGATTAATTAGGTTATGGTTTTAATTATGTAATAACCTAATTTTTTTAATTTATATTTATTAATTGTGCAATTAGAAAATAATTTAATTTGTAGCTATTGGATCAAATATTAAGCTAGTGAAAAAGAATTTACTATAATATATTAATGTATTAGTAATTAAATTTGCTGATGGACTAAATTGTATATTATATATTATTAATGTTAAATTAGTTAACTAGATTGGGTGTTTAATTAAAAAAAAAAATCTAATGGGTCTAGCTCCACCTTTTGAACCTCACGTGCCATATACTTGGGAATTTAGTACTAGGATCTTATTTATTGGAAAGAGTCAAAAGAAAATAAGAAGAAGAAGAAGAGGGCTTTGGGAGGATGGCGGCGTGCAACAAAGGACATAGAAACTATTGAATTTTTTTCATTGATAATCAAATTATTTTGTAGCAATGTATTATTGTAATCAGTCTATAGCTAGCAAAGCCAAGAAAAGAAGGCCTCAGGTATTGTTAAATTTTCATATATCTTTCTAATTGATTTTGGTCAATTAGTAATGAAGAAAATTTGGAATAGTTAATGATTGAGCTTTTTAGAAATTTAATATAAGGTGGGGGAATCTATTTGATCAAGCTACTGCCATGGGATTTTTTTTTTTATGGATGCAGTTCCTATTTCTATAACTTTTAATGTGGAGATGTAATAATTATATATGTCATGATTTGGTAAGGATTAGGTATGTATAATTATATAAATGGTGAGAGTAAGGATTTTTACAGAATGGAGACTTTAACCATCGTTTTCTTAGAGTTACTGTTTTGGCTATTATATTTTCTTACACTATATTTCCCTAATCAACCTTAATTTCCTTACACAGATTTTGATTATCTTTGGGATATTAGTACCACTAATTTAGATATAATATTGACTAATTAATTATGGGTGGTGATACTAATTGGGATATGTATATTACCTTTAAGAATATAGTATTTGAAGGGTAAAATACTAAGACTTAGCTCTAAGCTTGAAAGTTAGGGACATTAAGATTGACCCCGACTAGCATAATTAACATTGTCTATCAATATTATGCATAGAGTGAGGCTATTGAAGACTGTTTGGTTGGTGTTCTAGACGTTGCAAGGTTGGGAAACATGTCATTAGCGAGGTAAGTGAGACATTAAGCTTTGATACTTGCTTTTCTAAAATCCGTTTTGAAAGTGTGTTTTTTCTGCCTGGTCCATGTGTTGGGACAAGCGTGTGCTTGGCGGAATCGGTGGTTTTAGATTAGCCGCAAATATATTATTTTATGAAAAAAAATATTATTTTATAAGTTGTTTGATAGTTCGATACGGCTGTGAGCCATGTATTGAGTTTGATACGGCTATGCGCCATGATATTGAGTTTGATAGTTTGATTCGGTTGTGAACCATGGTGTTGAGTTTGATACGGCTGTTCACCATGATGTTGAGTTTGATACGGCTGTGCGCCATGATGTTGAGTTTGATACGGTTGTGCGCCATGATGTTGGGCATTGTGTATGCCTTTGTACATCACTCGAGAATTGTGTATGCTTCATGATATATTTGGGCATTGTGTATGCTTCAGTGAGCATTATGTATGCTCTGTTACATATTTGAGGCATTGTGGTGCCGTTGTGGACTCGTAAGTGTGTTGGCAAATTTCTTTTACTGCAATTATGACAAGTCCTTAATGGGTACTCTTGTTGGTTAATTCTTAATAACTCTGTTGATACACATATATTGAGTTATTGTATAATTATCATATTTATTATATCATTCGTTTTGTGGTGTGTTTGTATTTTCCAATACTTGTTCCAGAGGTATTTAAAGTGGCGGGTCGAGGATCTTACTGGGTTATATTTACGTATAACTCACTCCTTACCTGCATATCTATGCAGACACTGTTGCGGGAGATAGAGCTAGTGGCTGGCGAGTTTGCTCGAGTGATTCCTATTGCTAAGATGAGCCACTGCATTGTTCGTGGAGGCTTTCGTTTCAGACTTACCTAGCTCGTGTTAGTTAGTTTCTTTTTATTTAGGGTTTGCATACCCGTCAATAAACTCATGTTACTCTGTTAGATGCTCTATGGTCTTAGTGTGGGATTTGGGATAGAGTTTTAATATTTGAGTGATTGTTGGTTTTTCTATCGATTGACTAAGATATTGGACGATAATCATTTCCTCTTTAATTATTAATAATACTATTAGGTCTGCATTTTCTTCTCTCAGTGTTTGTGTAGATGGTTAAGCACTAGAGAAAGGGGTTCACCTGGCAGGTGGTGTTAGTTGGGTGTCAGTCACGTCTAGGGGGTAGTTTGGGACGTGACAAATTACGCATGTGCTTAATTGATAGGTCAACTAGTTTGCTGATTATGATTAATTTGTACTTGATAGCTTAATATCAATTTAGATTAATTAAATGTTATTTAGTAAATATTGATTCTGTGGGATAAAAGAGGACAGTAGGTTGAGGTAAAGACACTAGTTGGTATTATTGAAACTTTAGGGAGGTAAATGAGATAGAAACTTAAGTAATGTTTCTTTTAGTTGATGAAAAGTTTTAAAAGAGGTTGGAAGGGGTTAAAATGTGATAAACTAGAGGTCAAAAGGGGTTAATTTCAGAAGTTAAGGGGCTGAGAAAAATAGAAAAAGAATAGATGATGGACAGCTTTCCAAATTGGTTAAGAAAAGATGCTGAAAATAAGAAAAAATATCTGAAAAGGACAGTTGTCCAATTCAGTTGCATAAGATGCCATTTTCCTAAATTTGGGGGGGGGGGNACAGATTCTTTCCACAACCTCTGATTTTTATGCATAAAAATTCACATACACCTTCAGATTAAGCATTTTTTGATCTCTGCATCTTTACACACACACAATACTTACAAAAGCTAAGAATTCGGAAAAAGATTCTCAAGAAAACTTCAAAAAAGATGAGGTTTCAGCTTTTCGAGTCCTTGTTAGAATTTCAGGGCATATATTTGAAGCTGTTCTTTTTCTGGCATGTTTGGTTGTGCTTGTTGCTTGCTTTGAAGCTGATTTTTCTCTCTGGAGTTTTCAGCTCTATTGGGCTCTAATCCTTTCTCTGTATTCATCTTTTCCAAACATTTTGCCTACTCCTTATGGGCTTAGAAATGAATGAAGTTTTCATGATGATATGATTGCTGGTAGTGAAGTTGAGTTGTGGTTTATGAATTTCCCTATTAATTGGTTTGTAATGCTTTAAGGCTTGAGATCCTACCGATCCTTCATAATCCCCATGAATATCCATGATTCACTATTTCCTTTTGTGCAATTTATTTTAGATGAAAATGATCCAAATTTAGCTTGCCCGTGGTGATTTCTTTGTGTTTAAGTCAGAAATGGAAATTTACTTGTTAGCTATGGCTAAGTCGACATGTATTTCATCTAATGTATGTTAGCCATTAGAAAACCAATCTCTTCATTTTATTGCTTTCTTATTGGAGACAATAAGGTTTTACACTATATATGAAGAAATAGACTTGTGGTTGCCTTGTAAAGATTTCTTTAATTTGAAGGTTAAGGTAAAATCATGGGGATTTGATCTAGAAACCACTTTGTTTTGCAGGAATCTGTTTAAAAGAGTTTTGGGTGGATCAAAAGAGTAATAACTTTTGAGATTTGAAGTTTGAAGAAATGGTGATACTTTTTGCACAACTTTACTGTCAATGCTGGAATCAGTAAATGAGCTCTAATGAACCAAGCAGATTAGGATTTATAATGTATAACTTAATGGAATCTGCAAATCTTTATTTATGTTTGATAAGTAATAATATGATATTCATGTTTAACTATGTTCAATTAAAGTTAAGTAGGAATTTATATGATTTCTTGCTCTTATGATTTTTTTTTGTTGGCGAAATTGATAATGGATTATTGAAAAATCATGATCATGATAGAGGTTAGGCCCATTCATTCAGGCCCAGACTTCAAAAGGAAGTCACTAACAGGACAACTTCACACAACTAGGCTTTCATGCGAAAGCCCATTTGGATATCATTTATTCTGGTAGTATTTTACCGCATACTTGGTCCATGTCCGCTTATACCCGCCCAATAGCCAAAGCGTTATTGGAATTTTTGGAACACAATTGTCTTTATTTTTTTTCAAACGTGGTTGGCTCATTTTCCTTTCATGAACTGACTTAGTCCCTTAACATAGTTGCAATTAACCCACTTCTTATAAATTAATTTGTCTGATTTTCCCTCATTTAGTCAAGTGAGTGAATCTTCCAATAAATCCAATAACTGATCTTACAAAGAACTTTCCATAGATCATGACCTTACCACAAATCTCAAAGCAGTTTAGGAAGATCATTCTGAATATTGTAGTTTGCTTTATGCATGATTAATAAAATCATCGTGATTATGGGTACGGTTCCCGTGGCAAAGTCATGATATAATCCCCAATTCGAGTATGCGTTTCACGCGACTCGACCATAACTTCTAATAATATTTAAACTAAACATATTGTGAATCACTGGTTTTTTTCACATGGCGTGATTCACAATGTGTACAAAAACAATAAGTGCGTGATATCGTGAATTATTTAAATAAATTCCATAAACACTAAAAGCGGTTAATTAAATAATTAAAAAGCGATTAAAAAGTAAAAATGCGCAATAAGTTTTAAATATGTATTAAATTAGATATTTAGGCCAATTACTAATAGTTGAGCGACCGTGCTAAAATCATGAAACTCGAGAGAGCCTCACACCTTCTCTTGGATTAACAGAATTCCTTACCCGATCTTCTGTATTTGCGGAACCATAAAATAGCTTCGATTTTCTCTATTTGAGATTTTAAAATAAATCGGTAACTTGGGACACTATAATAACTATCCCAAGTGGAGAATCTAATTAAATAAATAATCTCACTTCGAATAATATCACTTTAATTGGAAAAAATTCCCTTATCTTCGAAAAAAGGAGGTGTGACAGCTCTGACGACTCCATTGGGGATAAGAACCCAGAACTTCTGGTTCAGAATTTAGAATTCGAGCTTACGTGACTTTTATACTTGGCTTGTTTTTTTATTGTCTGATATTACATGTTTGGACCTAATGTGCTAAATATCGCTCTTTACCTCTTAGATATTGCCGTGAACTATATATTAAATTGCTACGACACCCTTCTTCTCTCTGAGTCTTCTAAATCTTCTGGGAAGTGTGTGTTTCGCGTGGCTTCTTTTCTGTTACAGTCGTACCTCTAATTTTAGAAACGAGGATAAGACATGTTGCAAAGACGGTGAAGCTTCTGTATTTCCGGTACGCNCTTCTGTGACAGGTGTACCCAAATTAAAAGACCATCCTGATTCATTTTACGTGCTACTTGTGCATTTATTTTTCTCGACTTGCATGTTGACTGGCTTCTAGAGTAGGGAAAGAAAATCAAGAAAAAACCAAGAGTGAGGTAAAAGAGAGAAAATTTACCTTGATTCTGAAAAATGCAGGTATTTGAAAAATCCCGAACTCGACCAAAAATTTGAAAATAAAAGAGAAAGAAAAAAGTCATTTCAAAATAAGCCAAATATTTTCAAAAGGTTATGTTTTTCTATTGTGTCAACACTAACCAAACTACGTGGGTCTGATTCTAACCGGATGTGAGATACGCAGGCAACCCCTATTAGGTCCGGCCTTATTTTTGCAAAATTGTCCAAAATAAGAACCCTTTTAAAACATGGCCATTACCCTAGGTCGTCCTTGTCAAAATAACCTTAAGACGTTCTTCTAAGACGCGAGAAGGCTGTTTTCACAATAATAACCATAATGTCAACCCAAATCAGTCTTTTCCCTGTTAATTAATATCCGTTGGCAGAAACAACCCTAAAAACTTTCTTCAAGTGCTGAAGGGCCATATTTGCAAAAACAACCCTATTTTGTTACTAAATTTAATGAACTGAATTTTCAAAATTATCCATTTTATGTTTTGAAAAATGCGTCACTTTTTATCATTTGTCCTCAATTTGTGTGCAAAATGAACACCGTTGAGAATTTACTTTTTCGGGTCGTAGATGAGATTCTACTAAGTATAACGACCCGTCCAGTCATCTCATGAATTACCGCTCCGTTTTACCCATTTCTGCTTCTTTATGCTTCGTTGTCCGTGTTTTACGTGGTCTAGTTGATTGGTTTACGTTTGGTGTGGTTTTGGTAAGAAATGAGATACTTAGTCTCTTTTAAGAAGGCTTAAGTTAGAAAAGTCAACCAAATGTTGACTTATGAGTTAGAGAGCTCGGATGTGAGTTCCGATGGTTCGGTTAGCTTTAGGAGGTGATTTGTGACTTAAGAGTGTGATCGGAAGTGGTTTTGGAGGTCCGATGTAGAATTAGGCTTGAATTGACGAAGTTAGTATTTTGGCGATTTCCGGTTGATAGGTGAGATTTTGATCTGGGGGTCAGAATGGAATTTCGAGAGTTGCTTTAGCTTCCTTATGTTATTTGGGATGTGTGTGCAAAATTTCAGGTCATTCGGACGTGGTTTGGTTGGGTTTTTGATCGAAAACGTATTTTGGAAGTTTTTAGAAAACTTAGGCTTGAATTCAAGGTGGCATTGTTTGAGGTGTTTTGATGATTAGAACAAGTTTGAATGAGGTATTGGGTTGTGTTGGTGCTTTTGGTTGAGGTCCCGGGGCCCTTGGGGTGATTTCGGATGGCTAACGGGATGTTTTGGAACTTGGGAGATAGCAGATTTTCTGTTGCTGCTGGTGTTTTCGCACCTGCAGTTTGGGGACCGCAGGTGCAGTATCGCAGATGCGTGATTTGGTTCGTAGAAGCGGAAAGGCTGGGGAATGCCTGGAACAGTAGATGCGGAAGGGGGACCGCACCTGCGGAGCCGTAGAAGCGACGAGAGGACCGCAGATGCGGTGATGGCCCTGTAAGTGAAATTCCACAGATGCGGAAAAATGACCGCAGAAGCGGTACCGCAGAAGCGGCTATTGGACCGCAGATGCGGTTATGTCTGGGCAGTGAGTTTATTAAACATTTCATCCGCGATTTTGAGCCATTTTCCACCATAGCTGAGTATTTTGAGAGCTCTTTGAGGGAAATTGAAGAGGGATTCGAGGAGAAGTGATTGGAGGTAAGATTTATGAGCGTAAAACGTGATTCTATTGTGAAATTAACCTAGAAATTCATGGAAATTTAGCTAAAAATGGAAGAACTAGGGCTTGGGATTTTGAGATTTTTTAAATTGGGATTTGAAGGGCCATTTGAGGTCGGATTTGAGAACTCTTGACATGTATGGATTCGTGGAAGGATAAGGAACCCGATAATGTGAAAATTTCTGAGTTTCGAGAAGTAGGCCCGGGGCTCGGGTTTTGCTAATTTTGGGATTTTTGATATGTTTCGATTGTTTTCGTTTGGGCTTTGTTTTCTTAGCGTATTGTGACGTATTCGTTCTGATTTTAGATAGATTCGACGCGCGTAGAGGCCGATTCAAAGGGCAAAGGCGTAGCGAGCTAGAGTTTTTGTCAGTTCGATATCCTGAGGGTTTGAAACCCCGGATTTGCACATCGTAGTGCTATATTAAGGTGAGACACGCACTTGATGATGAGCGTGGGGTCGTCTACTATGGGGGATTGTGACTTGGTCCATCCCGAGTGATGCTTTTACCGCGTATTTGATTAAAGCTTATTTGTTATCATCATTATTTGGAGTGATTGCCATATTTGGACTTCGTGCCAACTATTTGAACCCTCCGGGGAGTTTTATCACTATTTCCTCACTATTTTGATGTACTACTTGAACTCAGTCGTACTGTTTTCCACTGTTCTACAACTCAGCCACTTTTACTCGGTTTTGAAACTAAAATGATATATTAATTGATGTTTTGGGCTGAGAACTACTGTTTTACTAATGCCCGAGGGGCTTATATTATTTCCGGACTGAGTACGGCCAAGGGCCAGATGTGAGGATACTATGGGATCGGGCGGCGCGCCGCAACAGTGTTATACTGATATTGATATAAGGCCGAGGGAACAGATTTGATGCCACTAGATGGCTTGCTATTGCGCTTGGGCCATAAGAAGCCCCTCCTGGAGTCTTCATACCCCTAGTGAGCGTCGTCGACAAAATATATGGATCGGGTTGTACGCCTGTTACAACCCTTATCCACATGTGTTAGTTCATGCCATATATTAGTTAACATAAATCCAAGA